AATTGGGAGGGGGAATAGTAAGGAGCAGAATGTGTTGTTGTCGTAATAAAACATTCCTTTCCAGAAGCCCAAGACCATCTTTTGTTTCTCTGCACCTGACCGGAACTAGATGGGTGGAAATGCCAGCGTGGCAGAGGAGGATTGGACCATGTGATGAACTTGTGGGTGTGAGGGCAAGGTCTTGAACTTTCAACTGGGTGCTAAACCCAGGAAGCTTTCAGATTCGGGTTTCCCACAGATGTACCAACATGTCTCTCTTATTAAATTGGAACTTTGATGGAAGCTATGCTTTGGATTCTGATTTAATTCTGGATGATATTTGGAACGCTGACACAAGGACTGCCTTAACTGGTTTCTAAGAACGTATCTGAAAGACATTCGCTTTGTCTAACACCCAGCTTAAAGTTCTCTTTATCTGTTCCAGTTTTAAAATATGCTTTCCCTCTTCTCTTTAGGCAAGCCTTATCATTTGGATGATCTGTGACAAGTCATTGGGGTTGATGATGATGATGCTTATATTGATAATGTGATCAGGATCTGAGATCTGTCCCAATATTGGACACTTAACAATTGTGATTCCTGGGCACGGCCTTCCTTACCCATTTTGACTTGGTTTGCCAGTGGCTCCCACTAATAAATCTACCCCTGTGATGGTGAACCTAAGGCACACATGCCACAGGTGGTACGCAGAGCCCTCTCCCCAGCACAGCTCCACCACGCATGCGGGCACGCCTCCAGCCAGCGAGCAGATTTTCGGGTCTCTGCTGCTCAGGGGGCAGGATGCATGTGGGAGACGTGTGTGCATGTGTGGGGGGTGGCACAGCCCCCCAACAGTCTGTTTTTGCTCCCAGGAGGCTGCAGAAAGGCCTAATAGCCCAAAATGGGGCATGGGGGATGGCGCACCCCCACCCCCCGCAGACCATTTTTGCTCCCAGGAGACTGCAGGAAGGCTTACTAGGCCCAAAATGGGGCACATGCATGCGCGGGGGAGTGCAGGGGTCATGTGTGCATGCGCGGGGGGGCAGGGGTCACGTGGGGGAACACACGCATGCACAAGGGGCAGGGCACATGCTTTTGGCATGCAACAACAAAAAGGTTAGCCATCACTGATTTACTCCCTGAATGGATGAATCGGCTATTATGCAGGTATATGTCAAATGCTGTTCTGAAGGAGCCATAGAACTGGAGCGGGCACTTTTGAACAAATATTGGACTTATGTTTAAAAAACAGAGCACAAATCCACTTTTCTCCTTTTTTAAAAAATTAATTTGGGGAAATGTTGCCCATGTTGCCTATTCCTGCGCAATTTTGCATACTCTGCAGGCTGCTCTCCAGGTATTGCCAGCCAAAACCTATCCTGCTTTTCCTTTGCAATGCTTCTGCATCGTTCCCTCAAGCTTTACCACGGACGCTTCCAGTACACGTGGTTGAGCTGTGGTGGCACAGTGATTAGAGTGCACCGCTGCAGGCTACGTCTTCTGCTGCCTGCCGGCTGCCTGCAATTCAGCAGTTCAGATCTCACCAGGCTCAAGTATGATTTAGCCTTCCATCCTTCCGAGGTCGGTAAAATGAGGACCCAGATTGTTGGGGGGGGGGCGCAATATGCTGTGTCTGTAAACGGCTTAGAGGGGGCTGTAAAGCACTGTGAAGAAGTATATAAGTCTGTGCTATTGCTATTGCTACACCTGTCGCCCAATTGATGGGAAGGAAAGGTGGAAAGAGAAGAAGGAAGGACATTACCTGTTGCTTGTCCAACACCCCATCTGCATCCGTGACTTGTAAACCAGGCAGTAGGATTGTGACTTGTCAGGAATACCCAGATTGATAGATTGTTGGCAGGATCCTCTTCCATGCTAGTTACCTATTATTAGGGCAGCTTTAAGGGTGGCTAAACTGCATACCAGCTACCAGCCTACCCTTGTCCAACTCCATCCTACCACACCCTAAAAAGAACCAAGCAATGTTTAATAGGAAAAGAAAGGGATCTGAAAATTCCCCTTAGCTGCTCCCTCACTGAAAACCTTCATGACATCACTACCTGTTAGCTTTGCTAATGAGTCAGATTAGAAGTTTGCCAATTGGCAGAAGAATGCTTTATTATTTATTTCTTGATTCGATTTATATAGATGCCGATCTTGCGTCATGCAACTCTGGGCAGCTTACACTATTTTGTAACAAACAATACCATGATATAAAAATATAAACAACGGCCAAGGAGAACAACATATGCCAGTTTATGCCAGAATATTTTCAGCCAAATGAAGGATTCGGTGAATGCACTCTAATTCAGCTGCAAAGAAGGTTTTATGTCTCTTACCTTCTGCCTATCTTGCAGAATCCCTACAAAAGTCATTTTCAAAGTAAATGTAAAAGAGTCGTGGTGGCGCAGTGGTTAGAATACAGTATTCCAAGCTAACTCACTGCTCACGGTCAGGAGTTCAATTTAGTTTAGTTTACTTTATTGGGATTGTACCTCGTACAACGAAATTGAATGCCATCTTCAGTGTAGAATAGAATAGAACAGAATTCTTTATTGGCCAAGTGTGATTGGACACACAAGGAATTTGTCTTTGGTGCATATGCTCTCAATGTACATAAGGAGAATAGAATGCATTCATCAAGAATAAAAAGATNTTCCCCTTTTCCCCTTTTTGAATTGTTCGCTGCCCTGAGTCCTCCCGGAGAAGGGCGGCATACAAATAATAAAATTCTATTCTATTCTATCTCAAAAAAAAAAGTAACAAAAGTATACTGCATTTAAATCAAAGTCCAGCAGTGTGTATGGAAAATAAGCTGACAAAATTGAGATAGCTATATTTGTGTGTGCATATTTGTGCATCTGTGTTTGTATTCCTGTTACTCTTATAATTAGAAACATTAATTTGGATGCAATATTAGCATTAAAGAGAATTTCCCCTTGATTTCTGGGAGAAATAGACAGCAACTCTTTACTGACACACCTGTTACATTTCTATATTTTGGATATCTCTAAAAGATACAGTTATCCTGCCCGGTGGTGGGAAATCAATATATTTAGCATATTATCAACCAGAATACCATGTATTATTTTCAAGACAGGTTCCTCCTGTTCCATATATGAGTATTTTATACCAGTGGTGGGATTCAAATATTTTTACTACCAGTTGGGTGTGGGTGTGGTTTGGTGGACGTGGCAAGACTTGGTGGGTGTGGCTTGGTGGGTGTGGCAGGGGAAGGATACTGTAAAATCTCCCTTCCTCTGGGTCTGCACTTGTCATTAAGCCCTATTATCCCATTGTCTTCAATGTTAAAAATGCCATTTCTTTATATTAACCACTTGGTAATAGCAGAGGTGGGCATCCAGTTTCTGTTGATAAACATAAGATAAGCAGTCATCTGATGGAGGATGCATAGTAGAAAAAAAAAGCTGTAAATGCAGAAGAACCAAAAGTGAATGGGGACACTCTTTTCTCGTGAATCAAGGCAAATCCACGTATCCTAGGATAATGTTAAGGGACACGGTGGCTCAGTGGCTAAGATGCTGAGCTTGTCGATCAGAACGTCAGCAGTTCAGCTGTTTGAATCCCTAGTGCCGCATAACAGAGTGAGCTCCCATTACTTGTCCCAGTTTTTGCCAACCTAGCAGTTCAAAAGCATGTAAAAATGCAAGTAGAAAAATAGGGGCTACTTTGGTGGGAAGGTGTTTAATCATACTGGCCACATGACCACGGAGACCTCTGCAGACAGCGCTGGCTCTTCAGCTTTGAAACGGAAATGAGCACACACACACCCCAGATAACAACTAGCACATATGTGCGAGGGGAACATTTACCTTTACCTTTAGGATAATGTTGCAGGATCCAATATGAGTTGTTCACCACGACAAGATGCTTAGTCTTCCTTCTTGGGGATGGGCTCCAGCATGAGTCTGAAAGCTCAGAAGACCCACCCAGATGGATCTAGGACAACTCGCTACAGCCAACTGGCCATGGCACAGAGTTGCACTAATATAGAAGAAATGGTGGAATAGAATAACTGGCGAAAGGATGCAAAAAAAGGGGCAAAATGAAACATGAACGGCAAAAACTATAATATTTTTTTTAATTATTTCAAATACTTAAATTGAATTGTTGAATTGTCTAGCAGCAAGTTGTCCTGTGATGAGTTGTCCATAGTGAATTGTGTGGGGTGAGTTGGCTATGGGAAGTTGGCTACAGCAAGTTAGCCATGGCGAATTGACTGCAGTGACTGCAGCCATGCCAAGTTGTCGTGACCCGACAAATGTGCACATGACAAAAGCACGCCGACAAAACCACCATGCAAAACCATGCTAAAACTACGATGTCATCAACACGCCGACAACAGCGTGCCGACAACAGCGCGCCGACAGAAGCGTGATTTAAGTTAAGTTAAGGGTTAGGGTTAGGGTTAGGATTAGGTTTAGAGCGCACTTCTGTCGGTGCGCTCTTGTCGGCGCGCTTCAGCGCTCATTCGTCAGTGTGGTTTAGAACTTGCGGTTTTGTCACCGCGGTTTAGTCGGGCGCGCTTTTGTCAGTGAACCATTTCGACCCAGATTGGATTCTGCAACATTCCTTTCTCTCTTTTTCCCCATCATGGTTTGAATTTTGCTTCTTTTACTCTAAGTACAGTATGGTGAAGGACAGATATATCAATATCATGCATAGCACTGCATTCAAGCCTTGTTTTCTGGGTTCAGCTTTTGGTTGTGTGCTGATTTGTGTTTAATTTAGCATGTGTCAAAAGTTACACTGGGAATACTCATCAGTACCTTGATAATTCTTTTCTCTATATATGTGGCAGGAGGA